AAAAAAAAAAAAAAAGTATGAAGTGCAATTACTTTAGTATCAAGACCTAATACTATAATACTATGAAATATATTTTGCTTTTTTAAAACTATATATTCTATAGTATACATATATATTCTCTTAACAACACACTTTTTTCTATTTTCAGATTTGAATATTTTTAATAAAAAAACTGCTATGAACATTCTTCTATAAGTATCTCTGTGACATGTTCATTTCATTTCTCATGGGTAGTTACCTAGTAGGAAAATTGTTTGCTCAAAGGATAAGGGTATGTTCAGTTTTACAAGGCTAGCACAAATTTCTTCCAAAGTGTTGGTCTGATTGTACACGCATAGCACCAATGTGAGGGACTTCCAGCTGCTCAATCAGCATCTCAAACTGTGGCCAGTCCAGAGTGATCTTGTTCTGGGACAACACTGGGGAACATCACTCAGCTTACTCTTCAGATGAGAACCTGCCCAACACGGATGCCTAGTAGGAAGTCCCAAGCACCTGGGCTTTGTATCTGCCACTGTATTCATAGCAAAGTTGTACCCCCCAGTGTATTTCCCACGATGAACAAAACAGAGGACCAGAGTTAGGCCATTGAGTCCTACTATAGGGATTCTTATGGTTTGAATCTAAAAAGTCCCCCAAAGATTCATGAGTCAAAAGTTTGGTCTCAATGCAACAATATTCAGAGGTGGGACATTGGTATTAATTCATCATTGGGTTCACAGGTTGATGTGGTGTTGAAAAGTGAAGGAGACTCAGAAGGTAGGATGCAGTGGAAGCGAATGGGCCCTTGTGGGGTAGGGGGCTTCTCCTGGGTAGTCCTGGGGTGAGCATCTTTTCTCCACCATGTTCTTTGGATACAGTGTTTCTACCTTGCAAGGGATCTGAAAGCAGCTAAACCATGGACTGAAACCTCTAAAACCACAAGCCCAAATGAACTTTTCTTTATTCAAGATGTTTTTCTTAAGTATTTTGTCATAGTCTCAGAAATATGTCTAATTCAGGGGCACTTGTAATAATAGGCTTACCTCCCTGGGGACTTCCCATTTGGTTAGCTGTCCCATGAGGATACTTTCCCACTTGGCCCTACTTTCCTCACTTTGTTCAAATCTGTCAGACCTGCTCTGTGAACTCAATGCTCTTGAGTTCTATTGCTTTCTCCTTTTCTGTCGCTCTGTCTCTGTGTCTGTCTGTCTCTGTCTTTCTGTCACTCTCTGTCTCTCTTTGTCTCTCTGTCTCTCTCTCTCTCTCTCTCTCTCTCTCTCTCTCTCTCTCTCTCTCTCTCTCTCTCTCTCTCTCTCTCTCTCTCTCTCTCTCATCTTCTGGAGCTTTTCCTGCCACCTTCTACATGTCATGTCATTGGAACTGCACCTTAGCACCTGATTCCAGAGGATCTGTCACACATCTTATCTCTTGGGGGAAAACAAGAAAAGAAAGGAGAAAAGAAAAAATTCTAAGTACATTCCCTATCCAAGAAGCCTGCAGATCTCTGCTCTTCATCCTTCCTTCAGTTAACAAAAAAAAGTAAAATATCCACATAAATAAAACACTGAAGATTGTAATAACTGCGAAGAAGAAAATAAACAAAATAGTGTAGCAAAAAGGAAGGTGTAAAGGAGGAAGTTATCATTTGCAAGAGACATATCTGGTAAAGGAATGGTATCCAAAATATACAAACACACAAAAAGTTCTTAAAACTCAATAATTGAGACATCAAATTAAAAAGATGGTGAAATATCTGATCAGATATCTTACCAAAGGAGATATAAAGATGCCAAACATGTGAAAATCTAGTCTACTTCATCCGTCATTAGAAAGTTGAATCTATGAGTTGCCATTACACAGGGGCTAGAATGACTCAGGTCCGGAACACAAACCTCAAATGCTGAGGAGGATGGAGAACAAAACTAGCTCTCCATCACTGTCAGCAGGGCTATAAAACAGCATCTCCACTTTGGAAGACCCTTTGGCAACTTCTTTCAAAGCTCAACATCAAGCTCGATATAACCAGCAATTGTGCTCTTTGATATTTACCCAAAGGAGTCACTACTTAGGTCCACACAAAAACATGCACACAAATGTGTATTTCACCTTAGTCACAAATACCAACACCTAGAAGCAACCAACATGTCTTTCAATAGGTGATGGGAAATAGACTGTAGAACATTCAGACAATGGACTATTACTTGGTGACTTACAAAAGAGAGAGACAGAGGAGAGAGAGAGAGAGAGAGAGAGAGAGAGAGAGAGAGAGAGAGAGAGAGAGATATTAACTCACCCAAAGACATGGAAGCTTAAGGGCATATTACCAGCTATCAGAGCCATTGTGAAACTGCTATTGACCACGAGATTCCAACTGCATGACATCTGGAAAAGGCAAAATTATAGAGGCAGTAAAAAGATCACTAGTCCTCAACAGTTTGGCAGACAGGAAGGATGAATAGGAACGCGGTATCTTTTTAGAGCAATGTATTACTCTGGATTGTGCTATAGAAGTGGATCTGTGTCATTAAACAGTTTTCATAAGCCATATAACAAACACAGTGAGTGCTAGTGTAAACTCGGGACTTTTTAATAGTGATACGCTAATGTCGGGCACCTAGTATGCCACTCTGCTCCAGGAGGTAGATGGGAAAGGGGTTGTGTGTTTTGGGTGGAGGGGCCATACAGGAACTCTTTGTATTTCCAGCTTGATTTTGCTTTGAACTTTGCTGTGCTCAATAATGGAGGAACTGTCTGATGTCACCAGAGTCTTTGAATGTTGGGATGCTTCTCCCCCCAAAGTCTGGACCTGATCCTGAGGCCTAGGGGAGGTGTTTCTGACTCTTGTAGCAACCAGTTCTCCACAAGCTGAAGTGTTATACAAAAGGCCAAGGTCCACTGCAGGGCATGAGACTTCTGAACCTGTAATGTAGGATTAAAACAAGCTGCTGAAGGAGTGGATCCTGGATGGAGAGGAGGAGTGTGTGGGGCTTCCAGAAATCCTCAGGAACTATTGTTTGCTATCGCTTTGAACAGGGAGTAAAGTTCCCTCCACTATGTGGCTTAAAGAATACATTTATTGTTCCACAGGTCTGTAATCAGACATCAAAGTTGGTTGGTTCCTTTTTTTTTTTTTTTTTTCAGGACTGCGGATTGAACTCAGGACCTTGCACTTGCCAGGCAAGTGCTTATTCTACTGAGCTGTCTCCCCATGGCTGGTTCTTTCTGAGTGCTGAGCTGGAGAATCCTCTCCATGCCTCTCGCCTCCTGGCCATTAGTTTCTGATGATCTTGGCCACCCTGGCTTCTGCAAGCCTCTCCCTGATCTCTCTCTCTCTCTCTCTCTCTCTCTCTCTCTCTCTTTCTGTGTTTACAGTGTTCTCCCTATGTGCGTGTCTCTGGAGCCAAGTATTTCCTTTTTTAAAAAATAGCCATGTAGATTGAAGGTCCAACTTAATGAATTCATCTGAATGTAATTATATTGGCGATTGCCCTGTTTCTGAACAAAGTTACATTCTGAAACTTGAACATACGCAGTAGGAAAAGGAGAAGAAATTCACCCAATAACATGGGTCTAACACATGAAGCATAATGCAGTTTCAAAAGGAAATCCATCCTTGTGACTCAAAGTAGATAACGCTGAGATAATAATCAATCTCAACTCTCAGAGAATTAATAACAACAGAAGTTTATTTTCTACATTTTCTACAGCAAGAGTGGCAGCGTGTTTCAGGACAGCTCTCCTAAATGCTCAGCTCAGCATACACACTGCCCCCACCTTCCAAATCCACACTAAGGCCAGGAGTTACACCTGGTGTTCTCTGGTGCCAGCTTGGGGTGACCCTTCACACTGATGTCCACACATGGAGCAAACCCAGGGCTGCACAGCTGTGAAGGGCTAGAGGCTGAGGCACAGATAAAGTTGACAAGCATCATGCTGTTTGCCTCAGTCCTGGAAGCTAAATCCTTACTACAAATTGGTGAGCAAGAAAAAAGAAACCTATTTTATGAATAGATTGTGAGATACTGTGTGAACGGAGCCTGTAGGAACAAAACAAGGAGCATTCCCTGGCCTGTATCTGAACAACTAAGCCCTGGGGCCAAGGAGGAAGCAGAGGTTTAGAAGCAATGGCAAAGTCAGCCTCTGTCTTTCCCTAGGATCAGAAAATGGGAAGAAGAACAGATGGGAGCAGGGGTCCCAGTTACAGAGAAATGGAATCTGCCCATTGTTTTCCTTGGTGGGCTGAGGGGACTCCAAGGGCAGGACTAGGACACAGTCCTCATCAGCTGTCAGAAGTCTGCACAGGAACTTTGTAGAAGCTTAGCGCACGCTTTCTGTGAATGAATGATGACGGATGGACCTAGAGAATGACTGGCCCTCCATCCTCTTCCCTATTCCCAAATGTCATGTTTAGCAGAAGAAAGGAGAAATCCTCACTTAGTAACTGGCCCATCTACTGCATAGAGGACTCCATGGTCTGTCAGAGCACATGGCCCTTGTCTACCATGGAAGTGGTTCCAGGGCACTGACTGGTTGTCACATACAGACATGATTAAGGGAATTTACCTGGACAGGAGCTAAGCCATGGGAAAGTCTCTCAAAGGCCTTGCAATGTATTCTCGTGGCAGCCCATCACATGAAAGATTTACCAGGCCTTCACAGATATGTAACTAATTAAAAAATAAGATATAATTTTTTTTCTAAGGTTCATCTCTGTCCTACCTACCAACTGATGTGGTGAGAATGGGCGGGCCAGTCTTTGAGTACAACTGACCACACCTATACCTCACCACATGACCTCCAACCCCAACATCCCAGAGGAAGCAGCTATTTAAGACCAGCTGGAGTTCAGGAAAAATAAGACAGTCACTGGCAGATCCATTGCAGCAGCCTCAGAGAGGTAAACACCCAGCCTAATGCCTAGTCAAGAGTATTAGAATTCCTGCTTGTTCGCTGCCTTTGGGAGCAACTGTGTTATGTGTTTGCATATGTGTATGTGTCCCATGTGTGCACCAGCAGGGCTGCACACAGTTGGCATGCACAAAAGATGAGTGTGCAAGCATACTGTGTGAGCTTATGGGGGTGCTGAACATAAGGATGTGTGAGGCAGCAGGGAGTCCATGTGCAAGGATGTTTGTGTGTAGGGGTAAGTGGGTGTGCGTGCATTTGTGTATGGTGTGACGTTGGAAAGGCTTGCAAAGAAGAGTTGCTTCTTTAGTTCATGAGAAAGATTGGGAATCAGACACTGCAGATGGAATCTGAATCTAGTATGGGGACAGGCAAGAAGTTCTTGATAGGAATGCAAACCTCTGACCTCTGACCAGCGTTTTGTAATGACACTCCTTCTACTCTCCCGAGAATTCTCCCTCTGATGAGGCAAAAGGGAGGTCTCATGGCTGTATCATGTGAGGGGACGAAAGATCTGAGGACTGCGTGTCTGTGACACCATTCCACAGAACTGGGAAGGGTCAGGAGGTGGTTTATGTGCAAGTAGTGCTGGAGGTCACTCTGTGACCTCGTGTGTGACAGTGATGCTCACCCTAGAAGTGACCTGGATGGAATGGCACCTATGTGTACTCCAGGGTTGTAGGGTTGGGCAGTAGAATAGACATCAGGGCAGAAAATGGGACCAAGTGGGAGCGAAGTTCAGGCCAATGAGTCTGCATGTGTGTCCTTCACAGAACACTCAGCATGAAGCTTCTCCTGCTGCTGGCATTCATGGCGGTCTCTGGTAAGAGTGGACCCTGATCTCTGGGCACATGGGGAACAGAGGGAGAGGTCCTGACCCTCACTTTCTCACTAAAACAGTCTTCTCTCTGTATGGGAGGAGCAAGAAAAGACATCTCTGTGGAGCAACACTTGCAGACACACAAGGGCTTCATGCCACATAACCAAGCCATTCCCTTCCAGGCTTGCCTCAAGTCTACGGCAGATTGGGACAATTTGCAGATATGATCAAGAGCAAGACAGGAAAGAATGCAATTTTAAGTTATGGTGCCTATGGTTGTCACTGCGGTGTAGGTGGCAAAGGAACCCCCAAAGATGCAACAGATTGGTAAGGCCACCCCAGCCCCTTCCCTGCCTCCTGCTCATTTCTGATGTTGACAGGACTCAGAGATGCAAGGGTAGAGCCAAGGCCCAGTGGTTAGAAGATTCCAGGAAGCACTGCTTGGAAAAGCAGCCAGCATGTTGTAAACTGCTCGAGGCCATCCCAAAGTCACTGGGTCTCTGTCCAAGGAAGAGTGGAGATGACCCTGGAGCTATGGGAAGGAAACCCCAACAGGATGTCCTCCTTCCAGGTGCTGCGCCCGGCATGACTGTTGCTACAAACGTCTGGACAAACTTAAATGTAGACCAAAAAGTCTGAAGTATGATGTCACCATCAGTGGGAGCTCAATCACCTGCAGAGGTAAGCTGGAGTCCTGAGACACCACCCTGTCTCCTGCCTGCATGTACTGAGTGCCCACTGTGCCAGGCCCTGTGCTGGGCACAGAGATAGAGCCCAAAGGAGCACTGTCCCTGTCTCAGGAGGCTCATGGCTGAGTGGGAGGCAAAGAAACCGAGAGCCCCAGGTGGGGAAGGCTGTGGTAGGAAGGAAGCGGAGACAGAACCTTGACACGTCAGAGCAGTGACACCTGTGCCAGGGCCCAGAGGCTGTGCAGAGAGACAGTGAACAGAAGGGTTGGGGTGTTCGCAGAGGGAGGACCTGGGGCGAATCACAGATCCTACTGTGCTGCTAGGACAAGTGTGAGGACCGAAGGAGGCAGGGGGTGAGACGAGGACAGGGTGGGATAAGCCAGACCTTCCAGGCCTGGCATCTGTAGGTTTTGACTGAAAGTGGCAGGGAGCCATTTAGCAAAAGAGGGACAGAGGGGACATGCAGCCCAGAGGACCCCCTATGGGTTGTTCAGTATAAGGATGGCCAGTTAACCAGAGGAGGTTACGCGGAGGAAGTCACACAGGGCGCCCCTGCACCCTGAAGGCTTCAAAGAGAGGGGTTCCCGTGGCGTGTGAGGCAGAGTACAGGTGCCTGGAGCTGTTTCCCTGTTGGCCCTGTCGGCCTCCCATTGGTCAGCGCTATCCCAGAGCAGGTACTTACGTCAAATGAGGAGTATCAACCCTACAGGCCTCTTGTTTCTCCCTCCAAGAACACACAGAATAATCATCAAAAACACCCCACCTGGTGATCGCTGTCTTCTAATTTCAGCCAACCAAAGTTCCTGTCAGAAGAAGCTGTGTGAATGCGACAAAGCTGCTGCCTCTTGTTTCGCGCAAAACCTGAGGAGTTATAATAAGAAGTACCAGGTCTATCCCAATTTTATGTGCGGTGGGAAGGCCCCCACGTGCTGAGCGGCCCACCTCCCAGGACGCCTCGCCACCCAGTTCAGAGGGCCCCGCTCCAACTCCTTTTGTCCTTCTCCCAACTGAAATCTCCCACCTCCATCCACTGCTACCCTCGCTGTCCACTTTCAGCCCCAGAGCAGCAGCCACCCCATGGCAGGCGGGGTCTCCCCAATAAAGCAACTCATCTGTAAGCTGACTGTTCGCTTGTGTGCGTGTCCTCACTTTCGCTCGCTCTTTATGTGAAATCACTTCGTACTGCAAGGCAGCGCGCAGTGAAGCAACTGAAAGTCCAGGCTCTGGACGCAGGCTCTCCGGGTCCAGTCCCACCCACCCCACAGCCCTGAGTTTCGGTTTTCTCATGCAAACAGAGATAAGACTTATGCCACGGGCTTGACCTAGTTTGAAACTCAAAGAGCCACAAGTGTAAGCCACTGGATCTGTCGTAGACCCAGGCACCCGTCTCCCCTTTCCGGGCCACAGCAGCGCCGGCTGACTTACTAGGGCGTGTAGGGGTTGCCAGAATAAAAATGGAATTGTGTTGGCCCGGCCTTCCCCAAATAAGAAGGCGCGCTCGTGGAGACTCCTCCGCCAGATCCACGGCCCTGCGCACAGGACTACACCCGACACACTAAAGCACTGGGTATCCGCGGGGCGAGGCACTCTGCTCAAACCCTTAAAATTACCTGATGGAGTTTAAAGGGCTTTCTTTTGTCCTTGAGAGACTAAGAAAAAAAAAATGAGATTTTAAAAGTCCAACGCATGTAGAAAGTTTCAGGTTTGGGCGCTTCAAATAATTATGTATTGTGCTCCATTTCCATACGGATTCTTTTTTTTTTTTTTTCCATTTATGTATTTGGTACAGGGTCTCACTACGCAGCTCGGACTCATAGTGATCCTCCTGTTTTCAGCCTGCCCAGCGCTGGGATTACAGGCGTGCAACACCACACCCAAGACCCAGTGGCCGGCTCAGTGCTCCCCGGGGGCGGGGCAGGCACGGCATGTGGGACCGAGGATGAACCCTTGTCCCTGCGCTTGCCCAGGCAGGCTCTTAGTCTGCTGAGCTATCCTGCCAGCCTCTTTCTTTTTCTCTAAATCAGTGAAAAAGGGTAATTCTTAAATTGCAATTATGGGGTTAACACATAAAGGCTGTTCAGCTGTCTTACATATTTTTTTCTCTTCCTATTTCGGCTCTGCTGACATTTTCACTTAAATTATGATAAAGACAAATTGAAATGAAAACAGGAAGAAGCCCGCTTGAAAGTTTTTCTCATGGTATTTCAGAGTAGAGGAAAAGGCAAAATTTTTAAATAGTGGCTTTGCAATTTATGAAGCGCCGCGGCAGCTTACACCCCGGAGAATTGTCCTTCTTGGGAACGAAATAGGTGGCGTTATGTGCTTGGAGTAATGAGACTGTTCTGCCTTTTAAAAACCACTTTTATGCCTTACTCAAAATCTTGAAAAGCAAACTAAGATCTGTGCCTGGTTTAAAAATTGCTTCCTCTGTTACACATAACAGAAAAAAAATCAAAGAAAACCCGCAGACAATCTTTTAAGAGTCGTTTCTACAAATATTTGCCACACAAGTTGATTACTTAAGCAAACCAGTCAGGTAAACAAAATGAAAGACAATTTAATTATTAAATTCAAGGTTGTTTTAAAGGGTTTATTATTACTATTTATTTATTATTATTATTCTAGGCAGTTCTTCTTAAAAAGTAAACATCCAAGAGTTAGCTCCTCTATCCATTCAAGACTGAAAAAAAGAAGGAAAAGAGGCAAAAAGGGCTCTTGAACACTTGACTACTGTGGAAATTGCTTTGCCAGGAAATTTTGTCCACAGTCTCCAGAAAACCATTGATCGGGAAAAATGGAAATCTTCAAGTTTAGCCACATGAACAGGTAGCCCTTACTTGCCCTGTTCTGTTAGAGGCATATACTGGTTTTAATTATTGCTTTAAAAAACGATGAGTTTATGTAACTATTGTTCTGTCTTGTGACAAAGATTTTTTAAATGAAAGATATAAGACCTGTATCTGTGTATAAATGTGCTTATGTGAATGATACGTGAGTGTATATTGTAAGTTATCCCTAAATAGTAAAATCATAGGAAATCTATTGGCCTTATCAATAAATGAGCATTCACAAAGATTAAAACTTCTCCCATTATAGTAATTAACCAAAACATCTCCTGATACACATAACCTAAGTACATCATTGATTTTTTAAAGCCAGTTCTAAATGCTTTGGTAAAATAAAAGTGAAAATGTCTTCAGAATTGTTAGCACACATTTTTGCCAGGGTTTGCCGGGCAGGCAGGGCTCTATTCATCTCGGTTGTGTGTTTAAGATTCTGAAGGTGTCAGTTTGCCCGAGGTGTGTGATGCAGGGCTCACTGCATCCTACATAACAAGCACATCCCTTAAGCATTTGAAGCTGATGCTGGGGCTGGACAAATAGCTCAGCGGATTAAAGTGCCTGCTTAGTCAGACACAGGGGCCAGGGGTTCGATCCCAGAGGCTGCCATGCCGGCCCCGCCCCTGAGACAGCAATTGAGACTGGGCATGGTGGTACACATCTGCAATCTCGGCACTTGGGAGGCTGTAAACAGGAGGATCACTATGTGTCCGATCTACGCAGGGAGACCCTGTGCACCCCTGTACACCCTGTCCTAAAATACAAAAAA